TATTTACCATATCATAATGAGACTTTAAAAAGTCTTTTTTTTTTTTTTTAGATTCATCAATGTTTCAAGAATGTTATCACACATATTTTTTTTAATATGTATTACATCTAAATTATGATGTAAGACAAGTGTTTTCCAATATGGTAATTGAAATAACATGCTTTTCTTCCTCCAATTAAAAACACTATTAGTTGCATCATTTTTTTTTGTACCTTTACCAAATGCATACTACTAGAACATAGCAAATTGCTGTAGCACATCAATTCTATTCAATTGTTTTGGTGCATGTCTCATTTTCTTATTTTTGTCAAATGACTTTTCATTTTTTTTTCTATTTATGATTTTTTGGTAAAAATCGATAATGGCACATGTAGCACACTTTACATGCATATTGTAATGAAAAAAAAAAACAATGTCTTTGTTGCAATAAAGGCATGCAAGATGACCTTTTACGGACCACCTAGATAAATATGCATTTGCAAGAAAATTTCTAGTTATCCACAAAAGGGCTACATGCAAATTAAAATTTTACTTACTATAAACATCATATATTTCAATACCTTTTTCCCATAACTCTTTTAGATCTTTAATCAAAGGCTGCAAACAAACACCAATGTCCATGTCGAGAGATTTAGGTCATGGAATTAAAAGTGAGAGCATAAAGTATGGTTATTTCATACACATCTAAAGAGGCAAATTGTATGGAATCAGTAACACAAACCAAATGCTATATTGTGCGGTCATATTTATAAAAGGTTGGAAACCATCACAAACTAACCCAAGTCTAACTAACATCAGTAGCAAATGGAGCATGTTGATCATCAAAACACTTCCAAGCAAAAGAATCTATAAGATGCCTTAATTTCCATCATCCACCCATTTTTCTTTTGCTACCTCATGAAAAATGCTATCTTAGAAGAAATATAGAATCTTTGCAACCATGATCTTAAAGGAAAGTAGTGCAAAACTTTATGAAGGCTATTTTTACTTGCAGATGATCTTACTATTAACTTCTATCTAGATGAATGATAGATTGGACACTTTTTTGCATTTTCATTCTTATCTCAATATAGGACACAATCATTGCAACACATCTATTTTCACATAATTAAGTCCCGATCACTTATTACTTTTTTTGCCTTATAATAAAAAGAAGGAAGAGTGTTGCCATTAAGGACTACTTCCCTAATCATTCTAAAAATGACATTAAAATCAGTATCACTTATGTGGTATAATAACTTAGCGTGAAAATATTTAACTATAAAGGATAACTTTGAATATCTATTACACCCTGAGTACAAGTCCTCTTAACATCCTTCAATAGTCGATAAAATTTAGTAGCATAAGCATTTGATTTTTATGCCTACCTTCCACATCACTTTTCATATCAAATTCGCCATTAAATTCTTCACCTTCATCTGCCATAGGAAATGCATCATGTAACATACCAACCATGTCATTATGTTGAACCTTCTCATTATAAGACTCATTGTCACTTTTCATAAAATCATATTTTATTTCATCGTGTAAATGCCAAGTTGTGTAAGACCAAAGAATTTCATACTTGAATAAATCAAATCTAATCTTGAAAACTACATTTCTACAGTTATTATAAGGGCATCAAATATCATCTATCACATCTGACTTATCAAACGCAAACCGTAAGAAATCATCAACTCTTTGTACATATTCAACATTTATTCAACTATCAATATTCATCCATTATTTATTCAATGCCATCAGCAATAAGTTGAAAATTAGAACAATAAACCTAAACATGTAAATATAATATATTGAAATTAAAGTAGAAAAAATAATAATTTAAATAATTACAAAATAAATTAACAAATATAGTATTTAATATTTATTTTTCATGAATAAATAAAATTTAAATAATAATAGAATAAATTGTTCAAAAATAAATTAAAAGCCTAAATAAATTATGTAATAAATGAAATATAATTAATAAATAAAGTATTAATTACAAAAAAATTACTTAATAAGTAAATTATAATTTAATTTTGTAACTATATAATAAATACCAAATAAATTGTTTACTAAACAAATTATTCTTTGTGATTATTTTAGATAGGCTTGAATTTGATAATGCTAATTGAGACAAAAAAAAAAGCTAATTTATTATTTTCATGAGATATCAACTAATTTCATAAGATATTAAAATTATATAATAAAATATAATAATTGTAAACAATATATGCTCAAATATATGTAATAATATCAAATATTTTATTATTATTTTACTTTCAGAACCTACAATTATTCAAACATGTATATTATATAAAAAATTTAAATATATGCAAACAAATGAATAAATGCAAACATGAATGTTATATAAAAAAAAGTTTTAAAAGGTTAAACACATTGAAATGCAAACGGGTTGTGAACATAAAAACAAGAGGTTGGGTACCTTGATAGATTACTACACACAAAAGATAATATGATCTAAAAATACAGCACCATTCGGTGTTGTTTAAATACGCAAATGCTATTTTTTTCTCTTATTGTCCTTTTTCTCACCTCCTATTTTTTTCTCCCTTATCCCTCTACAAACCTAGAACCCAACCAAGATCCTCTATTAACCCATCGTAAGTCACCAAAAACTATCATCACCAGTGTACTAAATATCGCAAGAACACGCCTTAGATCTAGGTTATAATTTTTTATTTTTTTGCCCTTTATACTACATTTTCAACCCCCAAGCAGCCAATTAAGTTTCATCTAAACCTTTTTCCTTTATCTAACAATGTTTTAAAAGTAGCCAAACTCCTTCAAATTCGTTAAATTGAATTACCCAAAAAAATAACCTTAATTTTTTTGGCTAAAAATTTTTCTCTACTATTGTTATGTGTACATTTAACTAAGTTGTGGGCTGTTTTTATAGTGATTTACTCCTAAAGAAATAGGATTTCAATTATTGATTTCATTAGGATGCCTACATAATTATAATGTTAATAGGATTTTGAATTATTTTTTCATTTTTTGTTGTCATCAATTAATAAGATCCAACTCTCCAATGCCTTTTTTTTCAATATTTTTAATTATTTTGATTTTTTTTTCTTTTATGTATTTTGCTTGTTTTTCATTATAAAATTTCCATTAAATAAATATTTTAAATAAAATGCAAAAATAAAATAAATCAAAATAAATAATGGAATTTATTGCAATCAAAAAAGACTTCTGGAATGGTATTTATTGAATCCTTTTATGTATGTATTGATTGAATAATTATATTTTATACAAAGTGTTCCGAATCTTATCGGAGGTGCTTTTGTTGATTCAAAGTCAATCGCAACCACTAATGTTATAAACTCTGTGAATCTATCATTATCTTCATGTGCATTGTCTTTTTTTTATATGTATGTTTTGTATTTTGATGGTTTTGTTCATGTTAATTTCAACTTAATAATTCAAGAAATAGGCTATAGTGAGGCCAATTAACTTTGGTGGTTGATAAGATCTTTTAGATAGAAAAGTTTTATTCTCTTTGACATTTTTATTCCAATTGTAGTTAACCTTCTTTTAACCTTGTATGTTTATATTTCAAATGTTTTGAAACCACCCTGCTGTAGTTTATATAGAATTAAGCTATTTTTTGTTGGCATGGAATATGCAAGTTACTTTATTATGGCTAAATTTAACTTATATTGCAAGTTTGGAATTTAGCTATTAGGACATTATTTCAAATTCTTGGAGGTCATGGCAAAAGCTTTCAAAAAGCATGTAAGAGGATTACCACTAGAATTATGTTTTCCCAACATAAATCTTATGTCTTCATTTCAACATTCATGGTGATGAACTTAGGTGCAATTTTGCAAGGACATGTTCCATATATGCTACGTACTGTACTAGAGCCAAAGTTTAGGTAATATTGTAAGTAAGAACATCTATAGTGGTAGATATTTAAGTATGGTTCTTTATGAATATTTGGATACTTGAAACTTAATTATATGGACATCTAAAAACATTCTGTTGACTTTTTCTACAATTTACATGATGGATCTTTATACTAAAATTATATCATTTTAAAAATAGCTTACTAGAGTTAAATGCTTTTTGTTCCAATGATGCAAATGGAGCTTATTCTTAAGTGAAGAATCCTCTTATTATGGAATACAAAGATTCTTAAGTAGAAAACGTGAGAAGATAGTGTTTTCTTTTTATTTTTATCTTACCTTATGCTTTCCTGTTTTATATTTTTCATGATAAGTTTCTTGTCAAAGCTGTAGATCTTCAATTATCATCATTGCATTGATAATAAAGCATTTCACTTATGTCTAGCTTATTTTCATTTAGGTGCTAGTTTGCATAATAATAGGATACTGTGAAGGAGGCAAAAGCTTCGTCGATTATAATGACTTTTCAAGGAAAATGCTCTTCAGTTTAATATCTATACTTGATCAAAATAGATTTTTCATAGCTTGTAATATAGGTTAAGGTTTGAGGTTTTGAAAGAAAATGATAGACAAGCCCTAAGTATGTGTTTAAAGATAATCAAACCAACAACCATTTCTTATGAAGGGTTTCTTTTGGAGACATTTGTCATTTCTCTCGCAAATATTTCCATTCCAGCATATTATTTACTTCTTTTTTTTTTCTTTTTTCTTTCTTTTTTTCTTTCTTTTTTCTTTTTTTCACTATTTTTCTTTTCTACATTCGATGATACAAGTTCAAAATCTTTTGAAACTTAATTTATTTAACATTTTCCCCTCAACATAAGATATTACTTCTTTGTTCTTGAAATTGGGTTTCATTGCATATTATTTTTTAATAGATCCCTTCTTACCTTTGTCCCTCAATGTAAGGGTGATCTTTGATGAAGGTTCATTTAGAAAAACTTCATTTAACTCGAAAGGGTAGCAAATGGATTATTTTTGTATTTGAAAAGAGATGATAAAAGATGGCCATTTTTATACAGAAAAATTTTTTTGTTCTGTAGATATTAATTATCTTTTAGAAATTAGTTCCTTACTTCACTCAGGCGAGATTTCTTTTGCACTTGGGTGAAGTAAGTGCCTACACCACACCTTGCACCTTTGACAACACTGAGGTAGAAAAGGGCTTGATTCTTGCTTTTCTAGAGAGCATGAATTTAAAACTGTTGAATGTGTACAAATTCGATCATGGACCATGTTAATTCATCTTGTCTTTTTATTGGTTTTTTCTTATTTTATGATTTGAAGACAAGCAGTTTGGTAAGGTTGTGTACTCGAAAATAGTAATGACTATGGTGCTAGTTGGAATGTGTTCCACTTCCACATAACCCCTTTGAATTCATTGAACTTCTTGTTTATTGTCAAGATGGATGCATTCTCTAATGCCAAATTGCCTGCTGACTTGATCAGGAAATGTGGCTAAAGGATGCTGTGCTTTCTCTGTTTCCTGATACAAGAGATGGTTCTCCCTCTTCGGTAAGAGCAAAATGATTGAGTTATCAGATTGACAGGGAAGTTTTAATATGTGTACATGTCTGCAGGCCAACTATTTTGATAGTAAAAGAAAAGCTCCTGGGAGCAAGAAAAGTAAAGGATCCCCTCAAACCATGCCCAATCTAGGCCATAGATCATCGTCTAATGCCCTTGCATCAGAAAGGAGAGGTTTTGAGGATTCTCTTCCCCATATAAAATCTTCTCTACATATCACATCAGCTGTTAAACAATTAGCGCCAACCGATTTGCAGAGCTCTTTAGTAACGAGTGAGAATAGCAGCGGAAGCAATGCTAGTAGCAGTGGAGGCAATGCTAGTGCATCGTCTGTTCAATTGAAAAGAAAATTTGGAGTAAACCAGAATAAAGCCTGGGAAAGCTGGCTGTCACAGAGGAATGTGACTGAAAGAGTAACCTTTGTTGCTGTATTAGGGTGCATTATTTTCACTAGCTTTAAGCTATTAGGAATGAGATTAAGTGGGGTCAGGCGTATGTCAATATGGGCCTGTAGTAAACCACATATGAACACAAGTTCCCTAAGCTGTAAACAAGATTCTTTATTCATTTACAATGTTGGCTTTACTCATATCAAGAAAAATGGTATTGGTGGTAGGATAAAGAAACTTTTGGAAGTGGGCAAGGTTCAATTCAGGAACCCTTCAGATGCTAGGAATTCACAAAGTGCCTGCCTTCCTGCTAGTCTGTCAACCTCCGTAATGGCAATGGACAGGAAGCAAATGCCTGTGGAAGAAGCTGAAGCTCTTGTAAGGCAATGGCAAGCAATTAAAGCTGAAGCTCTGGGACCTAAACATCAGGTTCATAGCCTCTCCGAAGCCCTTGATGAATCTATGTTAATTCAGGTAAAACCTATTGAATGAGAATGGTCTCATTTGATTTTATGCTTTTGTTATATTAACAATAAGATATATCATACATTAACCCTCCCTTGTCTCCCTGCCTAACCCACCAGAACCCCATAAAGGAGGGAAGGGGAAAAAGAAGTGTCTGTTGTTGATAAGTGATTGTGTGCTTTGTATAATATGAGAACTCATTTTGCCACCTCTGTACTATTTGGAAAATATAAATATTGCTTCTGGAGAAATACATAGGGTTTTAGACATTTAATATTGATGAGAGCACACTAGCGGTGATTTAGTTGCCTTTTTCAATAGTTGCCAGGAAATATTGAAATTATCTTTGATTTCATTTCCTGATGCAGTGAAATATAATGGTGGTTTCAACCTTTAATTAGGTGTTCAATGTGGAAAATAAAAAAGTTGAAAGCTTTAAAAGTCAAAGAAATGTAATAAATGCACTCTAAATGTATATTTGAGTTCTTACTAAACAAAGATTAGCTCAAATCAAAATCAAGATTGAACCATTTCGGAGTTCTTTAAAATTCAAAATCTAAACCTGTGCAAGGCACTAACTCTGAATTCATAATGTGTAAAAATGTTGGTATGTTTATTTCAAGATTCTATTCCTGGAGGTGGAAATAACACTTCATAGCTAAACCCGGGCTATTTTTGTTCACATAATTGGTCTGCAGTGGCAAGCTTTGGCTGATACAGCAAAAGCTAGATGTTGCTATGGGAGATTTGTTTTGTTGCAACTGACCATTCCGCGAGCAGACATTCTATTGGATATAAAAAAGGGGGAGACGGCTGAAATTGAGGCTCTCCTAGAGGAAGCAGCGGAGCTTGTTGATGAATCTCAGCCAAAGAATCCTAATTACTACAAGTGAACAAACCAACCTAGGCTTACTGCATTTTTGGAACTCAGATCATAAATGCTGCTATGTGTTAGATTATCATTTATACAACATTGAAAGTATGCTGAGGGAAAATTTCTACATGTATGTTGCCATGCATTAACATTATATCGTGGCTCCAGTTAAATCTGTGTGACAACTAGCTATATTCCTCTATTATCTTGCATTTTCTGCATGTTATATGTTACTTAAAATTGTCCTGAAAACCTAAATTCGAAACTGTTCTAGCAATCTTTGGACTAAATTGTTTACTCCTTTGGTTGCAGCACTTATAAAATCCGCTATATTCTTAGAAGGCTAGATGATGGATCGTGGAAATTCTGTGAAGGTGACATTGAAATGCCATCATGACATAGCATTCTGGAAAATATGTAACAAGCCACGATCAGTTGACCTCTAATCTTCTGTTATCTTAGCTACTAGTCTTGGACCTTTGCAGATGCAAATCTCCAAGGCAGGGCTGGATGTTGTACCATTAATATTTTTTCTCATCTTACTTACCATCTTTATCGACATATACTCCTATCTTTATTTTTATTTTGCTTTTTGGTAGTACTAACCATATTTCAATTTACGAGTTTGTTAGTCAATGTTTTATGTTTTTTATTCTATGTGTTGGTCTTACTTTAAACATTTTCTTAGCATGGAGTGCTTTATATGTATTTGATTGATTCTTTTTGCCCTTGTAAATTGTATGCATATTGTTAATTTGATTTTTTTTAGCCTTTACGTAGTATGTCTAATTGAATATATTTCTGCAAATTCATAGATAAATATTTTCAAAGAAACACATTATTGCCTAGAAATGATTAATGACTAATAAAAAATTTAAGAAGATCATATTTTATACAATAGATTTAAGAGGTGAAATTTTGGAGATACAGAGCTGTTTTTCTTTTTAAGTTTTTGCAAAGAACTTTATGCAGTTTATTTTTTCTATTTCACTCAATTTAATTGTATTCACAAAATTGTCACTTTTTAAAGAATAATTAATAAACTGCTTCTTGTAACATATTTTGATCTACAATAATGTTTAATGATTAAATATCTTTTAATTTATTTACTTAAAATAAGTTTTTTTTATCAATATCTGACTGACAATTATCATATACTAATCAAGTATATTGAGCTATTTGAGTTTCATTAAATCACAAAATTTGAACGGTTATGCTTGCTTATATATAATCTGCTTTCTTGGTTGAATATAATTGGTTGAATATATTGAGTTATTTGATTTCTATTAAATTACAAATTCCTTTCCCATTCTACTTATAAATCAATATCCTAAAAAAATATTTGAATTGCATTTTAATAATCGATACAAAAAACAAGATGAGTCCTAATTCTAATAAAATGAATTTGAGCTTACATTCGTACTTTAAGCCTTTTAATTGAACTTTTAAATGTTAATTCCTAATTGTCTCAATAATAAAATTAAATTAATTATGAATTCATAAAAATGATTCAAAAATGATTAATTCCAAATAAATTTAAACAAACTCGATTCAATTAATATGTTTAAATTGACTCAAATCAAAATGTTAAAATCAAATTTAAAAATTGAACAACTCGAATTGACACAAACAAAAATTAAAGGTTTATAACACATTTCATTATATTTGACCATGTCATTCAAAGGCTAAATTAGACTACAAACAAATGCAACAATTAACAACTTCATAAGCACTTGTACTAGGTTGCAAGGCTTCTCCTGTTTAAAAAGTGACATAGTAAAAGCTTCAAATCGTGATGCAATGGGACACCATGGGTATCCCCATCATTGCCCTTGCGTGCAATGTGTCTCAGGTGGCAACGGAAGCATACAACTTCAACAGGTTACAATCTAAATATTCAAAACCAACTAACCACCTCAAGGAAAAAAAATAAAAAAATAAAACCCTGCATAGCATGATCTCTCTCTTGCTCCCTGGCTACAACACTTGTTTTCAAAGATAATTGGGAAAAAATGAATGGCAGCTTGCATGAAGGACAGACATTCCATGTCACTAAAGTATATAATCAAAACTTAAGCTAAAGATTAGTCTTTATAGCAGTCTTTTGAACTCTTATCAAAAGGGTAACTAAAGCATAACCAAACATCGGGTAAATTATAACTTAAGAAATCATGATGCTTTCACAATTTTCGATAGATTTCCTTAGACCGATGATGTGGCAATCAGCAAGGAGCTTCTTTCATTTACGTTCTCCTGATCTTTGAAAATGTTCCAGTCTCAGAGAAGTAAGTGCTTTGAGTTCCGCTGCCAAGCTGATGTGCATGAGCTTGAGGGTTTGTGAGCTCAATCCCCTTGAGAATAAAGATGCCAATCATTACCGACATACACAGACAAAAAACAATGCATGTTTGATTCACGTAAAAATAAGTTCAACCTAAGACTTTTGCCAACCCCTTCCTACTCTCCAAGGAAAATAGAGAAAACCATCATCAAAAGTTATAGTTCTAAATTTTAGAAGGATCAAAGTTACATCCCAAGACATAGCCAGTCAGCCGCATATGAGGCGATAGAATACATATACATCAATCAGGCTAAAAGATAAATCCTCCAAAATTAGTTACATGCCTACAAACATACTACTACATGTAACATATGCCATGTGCCTCAAAATAACCGAAACCCAGCCCTGTTTTCCTTGGTTTTCCACATCACCAGAACCCTCTCCTATTACTAAAGTCAAGAATGCAAAATCACCAACCTAAAGAAAGTCTCATCCAGGTTTTCATGTAATTTCACCTCTACTTCAAGCAACTTAAACAGCTTTAACATAAACTCTTCACCCTTACATTGAAATCTAAATGCTAAACCCTTTCTTGCACCTAATAAAAGCAATGCAGGTAGACTTCTCAAATATTTCCTATGCTGAATATGTAATAAAAAATACAACAGAATACTGACATCCCTGTTAGTTTATGGTCAAAGTAGAGGAAGCTAATTACCTGCACAGGTGTGAATGCCAAACTTGAAGTCAGTCCAGAAGTAGCACCACTGCTTCCATAACGCTTTTCCTTGAACCTGACGTAAAGAGAAAAAAAAAACCCACAAGAGCAACATGAAAGGTTGAGTTCGAGAAATGAATACCTAAACTATTGAACAAAACTAACTGATCAAGGAATACAACAAATGACTTCCAAACTTATAGTCTTAATAACAGGAACAGGAAAACCTACTTCTTGGCAACTTTGGCTGCAAGTTTGCTCTGACCAACTGATACACGCAGTTTGCCACTCCCAGCCTGACCAAGCATTCCATAACCTTCACCTAGTCCGTCACCTAGTATCAAATAAATAAATAAATAAACAGTAAGAAAATAGTGGGAAATAGGTTCTTGGTCCTCAAATAAATTACTAAACTATCCACCTTTTAGAAATATGAAAGGAAATTAACTCCTCGTAACATGAACATGATTCAGAACTAGAAATTTCATGGATAGAAAGAAAAAGAGAAATACTTAGGCATGCATGTATTTGCATGATTAGAGCTTGCATGCTTATTGAAGACCCACAACAGGGCTTTCAAGATTTTGATTCTTCAGAAGATGGACAAGTCAAAGTTTTACCTAAAGAGCTCTCCTCCGGTACACCAAATTGCATCCTGTTTGCCAGCTTCCTCATGTCTGTTATAGCATACCTGAAAATAATAAAATATATACACTTGTCAGACAAACAAAATGCAAATTGCACAAACAAATAACAACAATAAGATAAAAATAAATTAGCATGCTAAAGTAATCAAACTGAAAAAGCCACCTCTCCTTCATCTTCCTTAACCGACGGCCACCCCTCTTTTTCTTAGGCTCAGAATCAGGAACAGGAAGCGGTTTAGGCTGCTTTGCAGGAGGTGGTTCTTGCCACTTTTCAATTTTCTTATGGATCTCTTCTTTTAAAGATCTTCCACCATTCCCCGATGGATCCCCTCTAGTAGAATCTATACGTGCTGCAAGTGTGGCTTTTGAAGCCAAGATACGGCAAGCACGACTCCTCAAAGCTGGGGGTGTAGTTTGAAAAATCTCTGTCTGTTCAATATAACCAACACGAAAATTGCGATGTTGCAGTAGAAAACCCCGCAAGGGTCTTTTTCTTTGCACCAAGCAGCTGAACGTTACAAGCAGGCATCTTGGCTAATGCTAAAAGACCACCAGCAGTACCCATAAGTTTAGCTGCAACAGCACTTCCAACAATAGTTGAAAGATTTGGTGCAATATATCCCATTCTACTTTCTACAAAATCAAGGACTTTTTTCTTTGCAGCATCCAGAACAAGAGCACGATCACATGCATCAATAGTTTTTTGAAGAACATCTTCTGGAAGTGGCTTGCCACTAGTAGTTGAAGCTGTAACTGAAACAACCATAATGATGGCTGAAGGCAAAAGTCCTTCCAGATCAACCAGGGTTAAATCCGTCTCATTGCCAATCTTTTTCACTACACGGGCGTAATCAATCGGATGATGCACAAGTGATTCAAGCTCGGGAAACTTCAACCGGTATTTGTCACGTATAAAATTATGGATAATAACAATCTCATTCTCAATATCAACCGATAGTGCATTACAGTCCACAATCAGCTGATATTCAGGATCATCTTCCAGAACCATTCCCTGATTCGAAAAGTCAGAACCCTTCCCAAGGGCATCTTCCACTTTCTGCATTATGTTAAACAGAACTAAGAACGGAAATATTCAAGACAAACTCAAGCACACAAAAATTCAGTAAATCTTTTTACACACAAAATTAGAGCTTGTCTCTCTATAATAACAGGATACAAAGCAATCAAGTATGCTAAATATAAGACTTCAACAACCAATAAGAAAACAAAAGCAATTGTCAAGGCATGAAACTAACCTGCATTATATCAATGTATCTCTGAGTTTTTTGCAATTTCGAAACACTGTCCAGATCATCGTAGTTAAGGGCTTCGATATCGGCCAGGTCACCATCAATATCTTCTTCCATGTTTGTGACATCATCATTTTCTTCCTCCTAAGAGATTGATATGAATATCACTGTTAATATTAATTATCAATTAAAAAAAAAGCTGAAATTCACACAGGAAAGAGAAGTACGATTCCAACTCACAAGAACTGTTAGTATTAATTATCAATTAAAAAAAAAGCTGAAATTCACACATGAAAGAGAAGTATGATTTCAACTCACAACAACTATTAATATTAATTATCAATTAAAAAAAAAACTGAAATTCAAGGGTTTTTTCCCAAACAAAGGTATTTTGTAATCTTATTTCCTTGAGTGGTGTACTTTTAGACTTTATTCCCAAAAGCGTGTAGTGTTGTACAGTTAAATCCTTGTCAGCAAAAAAATTCCACATCACTTTTCTTTCTCCAATCCCCCTCTTCTCTAGCCTCCTGCGATTTCGGTGAGTCTTTGACTATTTAATTTCTCTTTCATTTTTATCTTTTGCCTACAGCAAGGACATTGGCTAAGAATGAAATAATAGCCTCCAAAAATTAAATATTGAGAAAGTATAACGAAAAAAATCCAAATACAAAACAATTTAAGGTCACTCTTGATTAAGCTTTGTTGTTCCCCTTCTAAATCCAGCAATTCCTGTATGCAATGGATAATTCTCTTTCATAAGAAGAAGATACCTTAAAAAATTTCAAATAATAAAAATACCCATTGACTAGATCATTTGAATGGTTCTCTTTCATTGACAGTGAAAGCAAAAAATCATCATTAAGCAAATTATTTCCAAGATATAGACTTTGTGGATGCGGGTGAGGTTTTGAAATAAAGTAAAACAATCTACTATATTGGTTTCTGTTTCTAATTTTTTTTTCTCAACCATAAAGATCATTTTTATTCATAAAAAGTCAGCAATTACAATACATAAAAGCCTGATTCAAAAAGATCAGCAAAACAAAGACTCAATAAGCCAACAACAGCTCATACCAAATCTTCCTCTAAAAATCAAAAGAAACCAGCTCAATCCACCCAACTTAGCTAAAGAGTTAGCAAAACATTAGCTTTTCTAAACATATGAACAAAATCAATTCACTCCAATCTTCTTACTAAGCTTATCAATCTCATTCAAGTGTCCCATTTCTTCCAAAGTCTGAATTCAAACTTTATAGACCCAAGACAATGCTATCATTGAGTGAGAATCAGCAAAAAAAAAAGAACACTTTTTAAACCAAGAAGACTTTGAAAAACCTGCAGCACCATTATAATTACCTAGATATCAGCAATATTAACATCTTGTAAGCCAAGCAATCCAAAAAAAAAAAAAAACATTCCAAAAACTCAACTAGAATAATCCCTTAATTCCCCAACACATATTGCCTTACATTGTTTTCCTTTAACTCAAAACCAACCTTAAACTCAAACCTTTTAAAAGGACATGTCATGAGAACATACATGATACTTTTGACTCCACTAAAGATAAAAAAAGGGATAGTATTGAGGACATTGCAAATCATTCCCTCTATAGCAACTTTTCTTGACACGTCTAGAAAACAGCATAGCAAATTGATATTCTCCATAAGCCTCATTATGCAACCTCCCAACATCCCAATATCCATTTTGCGAGATAGCACTCAAAATGATCCAGACGTTGATCCAGAAAACAGGGGTCGCAGCAAACTTCAAGAAGAAATTAAATACAATTGCCTTAGAAGCTTATCATTTTCCATCATCCAAGCCAAAGTTCACTTCCATCCCAAGATCATCACGAAAATTCTTTTCCACTCAATCTGTTGTCTGCCAAATTAGCTAACTCAATCACCTATCAAATTTATCACAATTATTGAAATGAAACATCACCACCTAAAGCAAACCTAAATTTGCTTTACAGCCTCAAATTCCAAAAATCCACCCCATAACATCAATTAATTATCAACCAAATCTCATGAAACCAAACATTTACCACAAAGTAATAAAATATATATAAGATCCATTCCCTTAATAAGAGCAAATCAATCATAGACCTAATATAGCTATAATTGATCATACCTAAGCTCTTACTAAAGAAACCATTTTCCCCTATTGATAAAAACACTCTCGATCTCCCACTAGCTAGAATTGAAACCCAATTACCATTATCAGAGTCTGATATCCTCTCAATTCTCCTATTATCAAATAACCCAGTTTAGTCTCCTGGATAAAGATGGGTTTTCTATCCCACCTTAGTGTTTAGAGCTTTAGGATCTTGAAATTGATTTCTTTTTTAAAATTCCAAAAGATTGATCTCTGTTAATAATAAAGAAGAAGAGTAAATCCTTTCCAATTGAATTTTGAGAGGATTATACTTAATTAAATATTTTTTATTTTTTATCTGAGGTGGAGTCTATATGTACATACTACCACAATTTAGGAATTATGTTTAAAACAACTCTAACTTAGTAAATTAGGTTAATGAGTGCCTTAGTTGAGAAAAAAACTCTGAAATTCATACAGACTCACAAGAACATCAGCTTCGTTGTCCGATAATTCGTCAAGGTCCGCAAGAAATGAATCAGCTAGAGTTGCCTGTAAATCAACCAGTAAAAAAATTAGAAGGTGAAAAGATATTCTAAAATAAGCGTTCCGAGAAACTTAAAGGCAAAAAGGAAATTATAATAAGAAGAAAACTAACCATCTGGATTCGCGAGGAGTCTTCTAGGGTTTAACCCTGGCCAAGGAGATAAGCGAAAACAAATTAGATCTTCAAATTTCCCTGTTCGCGAGGAGTCTTCTAGGGTTTTCAAAAAATACGATAAGTTCTTTTTTTTTTTTTTTTGTTTCGGCAGAGAAAAAAGGGGGGGAGGGGGGGGGAGGCTGGGTCGAACCGCAGCCGTATTTCTCCCTACGACTATTTTGGCCAGTAGGCCACGAAGTTTATTTTGAATTTTCTTTTTAGGTGAACTTTATATTACAAGAAACTTTTTGATGTTTGATGTTTTAAATTACTAAACTTTATATTTAGTAAAATCATGCTAAATATAAAAAATGTTTCCTGATCATCACATTTTTATTGTCATGTCAACATTCGAAAAAAATTAAATTTTAAAAAATTAAAAAATATTACTTAATTTAAAAAGATCTAAAATATTTTAAAATTTTGAAAAATTACAAATTATAAAATTTTGAAAAATTAAAAAAACAAAAAATTTTAAAAGAAATCTAACCATTTTTTAAACATTCCAAAAAATTCAAAAATAAAATTTGAAAAACTAAAAAATAGTAGAATTTTTAAAAAATTTTGAATCTCTCAAAAAAATGAATTTTAAAAATTCCTAAAAAGTCAAAAAAAAGAAACAATATAAAATTTTTTGATTATTTAAAAAAAATATTTTAAAATTTTAAAAAATAAATTCTAAAAATTTCTAGAAAATAAAAAAAATAAAAAATTTCCAAAATTTTTATAAAATATAAAAAATTAAAATATATAAAATCCAAGAAATTTTTGAAATATTAAAAAATACTAATAAAAAAAATCTGACAACTTAAGAAATAAAAATTTTAAAATCTGAAAAACAAAAAAAAAAAGATCTAAAGAGTAAAATTTTATTTTTCATATTGTTTTTAATTTTTCAAAATTTAAATTTTCCTGGATTTTTAAAAACTTTCAATTTTTTGAAAATGTTAATTTTTAATTTTTGTAGTTTTATTTTTTTGAAATTTTTTTAATAATTTTTCTTTTTTTTTAATTTTTACTATTTTATAATTTAATAATTTATTTTTGAAATTTTTAAATTTTTTAGAATTTTATAAAAATTTTCATTCTCTTAAATATTTGGAATTTTTTCATTTTTTTGTAATTTTTTATTTTTTATTTTTTATTTTCCTAGAACTTTTTTAAATTTTTTAAGAGTTTTTTTAAAATTCTTTTGTAATTTTAATGTGATAACTACGATGTGATAAAAACCAAACGTTTTTTTATATGTGTTATGAATTTATTGGTTATTAATATCATGTTAATAATTTAAATAACAATATTTGTTTGAAGTATTAAAATTTATGACAAAATGAAATTTTAAATATTTAATTATACATTTTATTTACATAAATATTGAATTGATTAAAAGTGTAGAATAAAAAAAAAAGGATTATTTTCATATTTAACTCGGCTAGAAAGTTCGATTAAGAGCAAAAACAAGTAGAAGTTTCTGGTTTTGGGTTTTTATTTTTTTAAAATTGTTCTACATTTTGTGCCATTTATTTCTTGCCAAGTGATTGGACCTTTATATAGGTCTGGTAATCTTTTTCCTTTCGTACTATAAAGAATTGATTACATTAGGCTGAAACTCACTTGAAACGTTGATTATCTTTTCCAAATTTAATTAGTCTCATGGATATAAATTCTTCATTAACTATTTATAAAAATGATGATTGAGCTAAAATTTGATTCAAGGTGTGCTTCTTATGAGTTTTTGCAAGGGATGATGGTTCAATGGTTAATAAGTGTTTCATTTAATTGAAATAAATTTGAATTTGCTTGACATTGATTTTTTTTGTTAAGGCATTGTATTTGAAAATTGAAATCTTGATTGGAGAAGCTTCAACTATGTTTAATTGATGTCTTGATATAGTTTTTGCTTATTTGTTGTTTGTTCAATTAAATCAAGTTCTCTTTTTCAATTAAGGATTCCATGAGTAGCGATTGGAAGTTATCAGGAAACAAGTAATAGAGAAGAAAATCCCAACTGTCATGCTTCATCCAAACCTTCTCCTCTTGTGGGTAAGATTATCAAACTTATTTGCGTTACATTACAATAAATAAAGGAAATAATCCTGGACTAGACATAATAAACAAAGTTTTGAGAAGTGACACCTAGTGTTGGGCAGGCCATTGGGCTATCTCCTAATCCAAAATAAACACAAATGAAAGTATGCAAAACTATCTTCTGCCGTCAGGAGTCGAACTTGGAATTTCAAACTAAAGAAATTGAACCATTTGAGCTACAACGGGAGTCATATGCCAATGATTTTATACAATTATGGTAATGTCAGTTACATCAAACCTGGAATTTAGGGACACCAAAACTTAACCAGTTGGCATAATCATAATTAGATCCAGGCTCAATCCTGGATTACATCAAACTATAGAATTGATTTTAACTTTGGTCCAAAGAAGGCATAAATCAATCCAAGTTACAACATTTTGAGGGTCGCGTGAATTGGTGGTCCATGGATTGATTTCTTATTTTCTTAACCTTGGATCATGCTAATCCCTATTATTAGTAAATAATACATCATTGGTCATGATTAGATGTCATTCTCCAATTTTCCTGGAAATCCCTTCTTAAAAGAGAAAAAATGTTTAAGATTAAAAAAAAAATCATCTATAAAATTTGGGCTAAAAAAAATTAGTCTAATGGTCTAAATTAAGTCCAACTCAATACAAAAAATTAATTCTAATTGAGTTAAAAGTGATTAATTAGTAATCAAAGTTAAAATGATTGATCATAATTGGAGCTCAAATCGAAATGGGACCATTGAATTCATATTATTAAGGGTCTGATTGAAAGAAAATATCCATGATACTTGGACTTAAATTAAATTTAAGCCTTAGATAATCCAATCTGAATACAATTCCATGATCGTTAACCTTTGCTAGAGAAAATCTAGCTTGGTAACTGATATGGACAATTATCAACATATGTGCATTTGGTGCTTGAAGGATGTTTAGCACAAGGGTTGAGGCAAGGCTAAAATTCAATCAGGGAGATTTCAATATAATTTCTAGTATCTACAAAAGCTGCTAAAACAAAGGGTTAGTGGAGGATAAAGTTTAGCGTTAGTGAAGATTTTTCAGCCTTCATCTAAAACAGTTATTAACATTCATGCACTCAAAGAGGTTTAGCTTCAAGGTAAGGAATTCAAATATTCTTGACAAAAATATTCAACAAGCAATTACATAGAATCGAGAGCCTTCTGTCAAACAGTTTTTATCAATTATTGAGTATGCAAAGAGAAGAAAGTTAGTGGGCAATAATTAAATTAAGAACTTAAAAAAAATTTTCATGTATAAATATGAGTTTTGCATATGTAAAACTGGTTCTAAAAATTACAATCATGTCATTTTAAAAATTACCTTATCTTTTTCATTTTTTTTATGCTTTATCATTTATCTTCTAATATATTATTTTTACTTTTCATGCACTTAAGCTATTTTTAACTTAGAAAATCATCTAACCTTTGTTGCCTATTTTCATTATCGCTAGAGTTATAAATGGTGAAAATCTTTTAATTTTAGAATAATCAAATCACCATAAAATTTTCTTCAAGAAATCAACCAACATAAGGTAATCTAATTTAAAAAAAAAAAAAAAAGAACAAAAGCAAAAGGTAATAATTGGCCAAAGACCACTAGACTGTGCTTTAATAAGAAAAAAAGAAAAAAAAAATGGACTGTGGTTAAGAGTTATAACAATTCGACTCTTCACAATAACTATCTAATATATGATTCCATGGCGTTAAAAATGGTGCATTCAGCCTAATTAAGCGTCGAGATTTGAAAAATAAATCCAAACGTGCATAATAATTAATTAGTGGTACTTCATTCCTCTCAAATTCACTTTACCAAAAAACCTAATGGCACAATTATAAATTCAACCGATCCAAATGAATAGCCAAGAGCCAGCCTACCAATTAGTCAAGTATAGAAAGGAAAAAAGACAAAAAAAATTAATATCCTAATAAAATTTTGAACTTTACCAAAAAAGTATAACTAAATCTTTAATATCTTGTTATATGAAAGTAAGGTTATAAATTTTTATTTCATTATAATTATATCTATTAAAATTTAAAAATGAATGAATAATATTTCATTAATAAAAATTTTCTATTTAAAAAACAAAAATTTTAACGTAACATTCTTTTCAAATATTTATCTTTCAACTTATTAAAATAAATTTAAGTAAACATTTTTTATAAATTAAATCATTTAATAAAAAATTTTAATAAAAAATTAAATATTTTATATCACTAAATTTTTAATATAATAAAATAAAAATTTATAACTATATAATAAAATATCATAGATTTATTTTATTTTTCAGTAAAATTTGAAATATTATTTGAGAATTATTATAAAAAAAATCTGGCAAGACAAGTGAAAAATAAACCAATCAATCTATGTTGAGGGCCCCTATTTTTTGTCGACCAAAATAGGAGAGAGAGAATTGCGATCAATGACCGGAAGGCTAGGTCAGGAAAGTCTTCAGTGGGGATATATAATTTGACTTTTTTAAAGATCCAATTTAATTTCAAAGTTTTTTTTTTTTGTTATAATCCTTAAAATTGCATAAAATGTTTTTATTTATGGTGTTTGGTTGGATAAAAATAAAAGGATATGTTGTAGGCAAAATGATTATAGCAATTCCATCTTACAGGTGGTGAAGGACGTCATGAGCTACCGGCTGCATGGTATTCCTTTGCTAATAAATTTTTTTATCGTAGTTAAAATAAAGATTGTTGGATTAAATTTTTATTTTACAAGGTTAAATTTCTATAAAAATTATTTTTAGTAGAATTTTTCTTTTTTTGTATGAATAAAATATTAATTATCCAAAAAAATAGAATCATCAACAACATTATAATAGATCCAACTAGAGATGTCAATTTTATTCAAATTTAAAAAATTATTTGATTTTTATCCTTAATAGGAATAGAAATGAAGAGGAAGATGATTATGTTTTTAAATTTTTAATTAAAAATAAATATAAAAATAAAAATATAATATTTGTTTCGTACATATATTATATATTTATGTATTTAATATATTAATTTTTATTTAATAATATAAGTTTTATTTTAAAT